AGTCACGAATTTCTGAGGCAGACCCCGCCCACTTTGGTGCATGCTTAGCCCAACAATGGCATTCAACCCTACTCCATACCTCAATACTTATGCACATTTTCCCCGGTCGCCGGAACTTCTAGGAACCGAGTTATGAGAGCGGTGGCAAACTCCGCCCACATCCGGGTGTGCCACGCCCAGCGTTCACATTCAACCTCTACTCCTACTTTCACCTCTGGCGTATTTTTTTCAGGTCTCTAAGTCATCTCGGAGCCGAATTATGAGGTCTTGTAAATGGCGTTATGAGTCACGAATTTCTGAGGCAGACCCCGCCCACTTTGGTGCATGGTTAGCCCAACAATGGCATTCAACCCTACTCCATACCTCAATACTTATGCACATTTTCCCCGGTCGCCGGAACTTCTAGGAACCGAGTTATGAGAGCGGTGGCAAACTCCGCCCACATCCGGGTGTGCCACGCCCAGCGTTCACATTCAACCTCTACTCCTACTTTCACCTCTGGCATATTTTTTTCAGGTCTCTAAGTCATCTCGGAGCCGAATTATGAGGTCTTGTAGGGGACGAAATCGAGCTACGTATCTTTGTGGCAAACCCCGCCCACTTTGGTGCGTGGGTCGCCCACTGATATCAGTCGGCTATCATCTCTTCCCCAACCTTTTTCTACTTTTCTCCCATCTCCTGGAACTTATTGGAACCGAGTTATGAAGTACCGTGGCAAACCCCGCCCACTTTGGTGCATGCTCCGCCCGCCAACAACGGTTGACCCCTTTCCCTCTGCCAACCCTTATACGCTTTTTTCCCGGACTCCGGGACTCCTAGGAACCGAGTTATAAGCCTAATTGCAAACTCCGCCCACTTTGATGTAAGCCACGCCCTTCCCTGACATTTAGCTTCCCCTCCCCTCCTGACCTCTATCCGTTGTTTTCCGGTCTCTAAGTCATCTCGGAGCCGATTTATGAGCTCTTGTAGAAAATGCTGTCCGCTTCACGACACGCTCCGCCCATTGTGGGCGGGCCTCCGTTCACATCATGCGTGCTGGAAATACCTTAGGCATTGCTCCCCTGCACTAATTTCGTTTCTGGTCTGTAGGCTTCCTCTTAACCGAGTTATGAATATTTTCACTGAGCACCCATTTTCTAGAGAACGCCCCGCCCACCGAGGGTGGGTCTCCTCAGTTCGATCTGGCTTACCAACCCACACCTATGCCCACTTTTGTCCCGGTCTCGAGGCTGTTTTGTGACTGAATTTGAAATCAACCGATGCACGCCACGCCCACTGTGGGCGGGGCTCCGCTTGGCTGATGTGTGTTTTTTACTTCTAGGGATATGGTATACCCATCCCAAACTTGACCTGGACCCTGTAGGTTGTTGTTCGCTTGATACCGAATTTCGTGACAGACGGACAGACAGACATAGCGCATTATATATAGTAGGGATAATGACTGTGAAGAACGTGGAGTTATGAAAGCCCACAAGGTGTGAATGAACATAAAGTTCGGGTGAATGCAATGATAAGATTTAACTTCTGCCCGAAAAAGTAGAAAATTTACGGATAGGCGAGTTTTTATACTTTTGGAGCCATATCCCTCTCCACAAACAACCCCTGCCAAAGAAAGAAGCGCTGCAAACGAGAAGACCTGTCTCTTCCAACGGCTATCAAACTCACTTATCATATGTGTGTTTCAAAATTAGCTGCTAACGGAGAACTGCCCAATTAACTGAGGTGTTTTTACTTGAGTTTCACACTTTGAGGACTACTACCTCATTCAAAACATCAAAAAAAACTTAACTAAGTTCTAAGTTCCAGATTCTGCAACATTTTCGCTAAGTGAAGGTTGCGAGATTAGGCAATATGTAAGAAGAGTCAAAAATTGTTTTCAGAAGCTCGCCTAGAGAGGTAGTTCAGTGCCCTGATTAAGGATATGGATGACGTTAATTTTGACGCTGACGAAGAATTTGGTAGAAAAGGTGTGGCTGACACCACACCTTCCACACTTTTTTTTAACCAATTCCGTATGAAGTTTGGGGGGGGGGGGCGGGAAGGAGGTTATTTGGCGATTATGAATTTGACACCCTCTTGGTGTGGCGCCATCTAGCCCATCCGACGCAATTTGGAAACATATAAGTGCCATGCAGGAGCCAAGTTGCACCAGTGCAAAGACAAATGGTATATTCTTGACCGGAGTACTGAATTACCCCTAGCAGTCAAGTGTCGGAGATTTTTGTGCTGTTTTGGGTGCTTAAGTTGTCAAAGCGAAGTGCCAATGTACTCTGCAGCGTGGCTGGTTCCCATCACTACAGGTTAGCTCGAGATGCTGACGTATTACCTGGAAGCATGATACAAGGTTACTTTTCTTTGGGGGAACGGTCAACAGAATCGTCCGGTCGTCGCGCCGCCGCGTGCGTCCACTTGCGCGGCAATTTTCAAGAAGCGCGGGACTTTTGAGTTTGACGGTTGAAGCAGCATATTGAAGTTGGATCTTGAAGGAACGGGCCTTGTAACATTCAAGTTCAGATGACGATCACAGAAACTCGTCCACTGCACTTGCGACGTCGCGGCCACGACCGGTAGCGCGGGGATCCGGACGATTCTGTTGACATACACCCCTTTTCTTTGGATCACCGAAGAGCCTTGGCCTGAACGATACCGCTCAAATTGATCGATTCCCCGGAGGGGCTCATGCTCATATCTTGGCGCTGAGGGCACTTCCTCGGAACAACTCCTTACAAACCCGTTGATTCAAAACGAAAAGTCCGTATTCATTATTAGCATCGAAAACACAGCAGCATGACAACATTTTTAGTTACAAGCCTCAAAAGAGACTTGAGTTTGATCTTCGCCGCCAGACATCTGCGTATACGGTAAGCGCCCTGATCTACCATCGATGCATCGACCGCCAAAAAAGACGCGATCCGTCGAAACGCAAAAAACGCGATCATCGAATCGAGGGACTGCAAAAGTCGAGAATTGTGGACATGTGAGAGGGCAACGCAATACATGGTCCGGCGATAGGCTTCTCATGTAGATGACGAACTACCACAAGCACACCTTTGTATCAAAGGTCAAGATCAAAGAAGATTTCGAATTAGAGTTGATCTTAGATCTTCGTGAAGAGCTTTCGACGTTGATTTCAATTGTGAAGAACTCGAATTGTGAACTAACGGTATGAATGGTGAGAAGCGGAGTACTTTTTTATGGGCTTACCATCATTTGAGCTGTAGTTTGTGTTTTAGAGTCATTTTTAATGTGGACAGCATTAATTTCATACTAAGTTTCCGAGACTATTGCACTTACAACCTAAGTTTCCGAGACTATTGGCACTACAACCTAAGTTTCCGTAGACTATTTTGCCCCCCGCACTTCAACCAAAAGCCCAAAAATGGCTGAAAATATTTTCCTCTGAAGCTTTGTTCACTAAGGCAATTCAATGCTCGATCACAAATATGTATGACATGTGTTTTAACGCCGACGCCACTTGGCACCACTATGACGCTGATTCGATTCCAAGTTGCGCCGGCCTGACGCTAGAGCGCCAGCATCGAAAATTGTGTGGTGGATAGCGACTCGCGTTATCAGGACGCTGAATTACGCCCAAACGTGGCTTTAGAGAATTTGCCGGGAGAAGGTGTGACGTCCTTTCTTTTTGAATCTTGAAAATGAATATAATTTTCATGATCGGGGCACTGAATAACCCCTACAAAACAAACTTTGGAGAATTTCCCTTGTTTTTTTTTTGGTTGTAACGTAAACAGTGCCCCATAACTCGGTACAGGATGTCTGGGCAATGAGTTCATGTTTACAGGAATAGCACGGAAACTGTTTTCTACCTTGAATGGCGAATTTTTTCTCGCCACTTCATAGAATTCGCCAGCAAACCCTACGATAGCTTCGAAATTTTCTCAATAGAATCTCTTGTCTCACAGCACGTTATTCTTTTTTTATCTGCTCATTCTCAAAAAAAGTTAAAATGACAGGAAACTGACAATTTCGCAGGTTTTGAAAAAACCTTGCTCCAAATTCAGGCATATCTCAAGTGACTGTGGTTTACGTAGTCGCCCGTTATAGTAGAGAGATTGCATGAGAGAAAGTGATCTATTGAAAGCGTGTCATCGTGATCAGTGGCCATGAGTTGTGTGATATGATTCTGCGTGATAAATTGTAGACGTGTGACAGACCAATCGTAAATTTGTAAGCATACTTAGAACCATATTATTGCATAAAGTGATAAACTGATACTTGGCAGTTAGGGTAGAGAAATATGAGACTGCCCGAAATTGAACATGAAGAGTTGATGTATTAACACATTGACGACATTGAGACGCGGTAACGCGTCTCACTTTGCGCACCTCGTTGGACATTGAGACGCGGTTACGCGTCTCACCCTTGTCACCCTTTTTCTAGCGTATGCGGGGATTCTTCCCAATTTGCTTGCCTCTATTCTATGGATTACAACATAACATAACTGTAAACGACATGGGTCACAAGGTGATCGAATATGCTCCAGTTTAGCAGAAGTTTTTTAAGCACAGCGAAATTGGGAGCTCGGTTCATCCCTCGTTTTCTTCCTAGTCTGATGAACATGTCAGTGGGAAAAAGTAGTGAAATTATAATATAAATGGAAAGATATATGTTTCACTTGACACATCCACATCGAAAATAGTTTTGGCATCCGCTACAGAGAAAAGGGCTTGAATTCCAATTTTCTTCACCATTTCACGTATTTTGATCGAAATTTCGCTACTATAACTTCGATTACTTTCTACGCATTGAATACTGCTGAAATGGTTACGTACATTGAAGCATCCCAAACTTATCATTGGAAATTCACGCGTGTGAGGTGTGACGGCCGCGCTCGCAAAAGCGCCCTTGTCCCACGAGGTGCAAAAACCCAAAACGCGCGATGTCGTCAACGTGTTAACGGAGATAAAAAAGAAACCATGGGGAAGTCACCTTGTGCTTTCAGAGAGAATTGACTTTTTTTATAGCATTTGATTGAAATTCTAAAAAAAGGTCCGCTTGCCTTCCGAGCTCTCTGAGACGATCCTCAATATTGCGTATTTTGCCATGGCATATTGGACAACATTTAGTAGGAAGTTCATTGCCACAAGAGATTGTACGTGCCATTGTACTATCAGTTCGTGCACGGTATTGACATCAGCGCTCTGAAAATGTGATCATCTACTAGATAGGGTGGATCGCTTCTTGATCGCAGTAACGCGACTCCGATTTTTTCTGTAGCCTTAAAGGCAAAGTTCGAGCTTAGACCTACTAATAAGCCCCTGCAGTTGCTAGAGAATGGGCCGAAGTGGGTTAGTGCAGGGGACCTTCGAACGCGAGGGTCCGGGGATCAAATCCTGGGTCGTGAGTCGCCCGGGCCAACCAAGCCTTCCATCCCTAAAAACACTGACTTGTACATCGGCTGGCCCCGCAAGTCATTGTATAGGCCACATCGCATTCAAACGCCACTACGAATGTACAAATGGAAGTAGAATGCGTGCCGCATCCCAAAAAGGGATTGATCAACGGCAAATGCTTTATCCTTTATCCTTTAAGAAGTGCGTGGGACGCAACTGCAGAAGCGCACCACGTTCCTGCATCAAACGCGTCACTAAGACGCTAGGCGCTAAGGACTTTGACACGCTCCACCTGTTGCGACACGCTCCGCCCACCGCTCGATATCTTGTCTGCGTCGCTTTGATCTGCTATGCTCTCTCTACTCGGACTTCTCTACCGCTCTCCGCGCTCACATTATCTCTCATCTCCCTGCCGGCCTTTTGAACTTCTCCGCAGCGTAGAGCAAAAGGCTCGTATTTCCTGTGTATTTCACGATTTTTTTCCTTTTTCTCCACTGGCGGTCCACCTTCCCACCCCTACTTCACATTTGAGTGGAATTACCTCATCAATTTAATCCTGAATCTTGCCTTTGAAGAGACTCCACGTTCACACCGAGATCGCGCGATTTTCCCCTGACATGGCTGATTTGCGTTGGGTTGAGGAACCGTGTCGTGTCGCGATTTCGCTTTTGCATTGTCTTGATGGAGTGGCAGTCGATGTATAGATCACTGCTTTTGCTGGACAACATTCGATCTTGGACTTCATTACTGGTCTGTTCGCTTGGTACATATAGGGGAGGGGGGGGGGAAAAAAAAGACATTTTGCCTATGTCGGACTTCGGCCCTTTTTTCTTCGCAGAGATTGCCGTCGTTGACGGGAGTTCCTCAGCAGAGTATTCCCTAAGTGTTCCCTCTATAAGTGACGCAGGCGTCTTCAGAATATGACGTCATCTGTCATCGTCGTCAAGCTCAAGGAGGCCTACCGTAACTGCTTCAGCCTGAAGCTCTTACGTAATTTCGTGAATCGATTTAATGTTGGATAGTTTTCTAGAGGCATTAGCTCCCACTATGCAAATCCCCTCGAAACTAGCTTTCCAGTAAAGGTCGTTATGGTACACGAACATCCGAAGACCACACTGAGCAGGGACAACCGTCCATTGGACAAAGTCCAACGTATTTGGCCGACAGGAGAGGAGGGTCGTATTCGCAAAGGTCAACGTCTCAATACGGAGATGAAAGGCAGAAGTTTCAACTTACATCTTATATCTAAGTTCTGCTTTGGTGTTTTGTATTCAATCCTTATATCGCTATTCTCGAGTAGGATACACGTTTATATATCCGTTTACACATAGACACAAACAAATGGTGTTGGTGTGGGTTTCCGGGAGGGGAGGGGGGGCGGTTCAATTGAGGCCCTCCAGAAAGGGGGAGGG